CTGCTTCTCTGCTTCCTCTGAGATACCCTCAGGCCTACCTCTGAATAACAGTGAGCTCTTCCAATTCCAAGAGGCCATGAGATACCTGACTTTGCTCCTCATCATCCCCATGTCAAAGAACCCCCAGAAGTGGCCAGGCACAGTGGCTCATGCCTGTATTCCCCGTACTTTGGGAGGTCGAGGGGGGTTGATCACTTGAGGTCGGGAATTCGAGACCAGCCTGACCAACATGGAGAAACTCCATCTCTACTAAAAACACAAAAAATTGGCCAAGCATGGTAGTACATGCCTGTAATCCCAGGTACTCGGGAGGTTGAGGCAGGAGAATCACTTGAACCCAGGAGGCAGAGGTTGCAGTGAGCCAAGATCATGCCATTGTACTCCCGCCTGGGCAACAAGAGCAAAACTCCATCCAAAAAAAAGAACCCCCAGAAGTAAAGTAAAGTTATGTCTGTAAATAAAGGGTGCCCTATGAAACCAGTAATCATTATATTCATTTGCATCACATTGGACTGTTTCTGGGACCTTAAATCTGGGGTTGGTAAGTGGTATGGTCTGAATGTTTGTGCCCCCCCTAAAATTCATATGTTGAAATCTCAACTTCCAAGGTGATGGCCTTAAAAGTAGGGCCTCTGGGAGTTGATTAGGTCATGAGGGTGGAGCCGCATGAATGGGATTAGTGCCTTTATAAAAGTTCCCCCCTCCACCAAGTGAGGACACATAGAAAGCATCATTCATGAGGAACAGGCCCTCACCAGACAGCAAATCTGCTGGCACCTTGGTCTTAAGAGTTTCCAGACTCCAAAACTGTGAGCAATAAATTTCTGTTGTTTATACATTACCCAGTCGAAGCTATTTTGTTATAGCTGAGACTAAGTCAGGGGTCACCATCTGGTAGAGACCTTGCCTCCTAGTCAATTCATATATCCTTAGAGGCAAGCCCAGAATTTCTCTTTCCTTTACCAATTCAACAGCAAGACAGGATCTCTGTGCCATCTAGAAAAGCCAGTTTGTTCCTTATCGAAGAGTCCAGTGGCAGGTATTTTTACTCCGATAGGTAATAGGCACATGTACTCTTCTTAAGCTCTCTGGGTCTAACAGACATTATTCAGAATGCAATGGCATGCAGACCTGTATTCCTCTTCCCTTCAGCACTCCTTCCTCTGGACTGGTCTATGCCACCTCCTATTCCACTGAACTGATTAAAAAGGAAGAGATCACATATGTAGCAAATAATCATGTTCACTGGAAGGAATGACATATTTTGTTAGCAAATGATTCACATTTCAAGGCTTTCACCTCTGACTTTGAAAATGAAGCTCACGAGATGCTTAAAGACTACCTCTGTGAAGCGGATCCCAAAAAAATATTGTGCAGGAGAATGAAGATCTGTTTACTTTAGGTTTATGTCAGTTTACCAAATAGCTCCAGTCCAAATAGTTATTTATCCACTCATCCATTTATTAAATCTTAAAAATATTTAAAAATTTTATGAGAGCAATAGAATTTGAAGGTTTGTTGTTTGAATAATCAATAAAAGATGATGTTTAGGGTTGGGAAAGCACCTATGTTAGTTTGTTAGGACTGCCATGACTTAGTGGCTTAAACAACAGAAATTTGCTGTCTCACAGTGCTGGAGCGCAGAAGTTCTGAGAACAAGTTGTCAGCAGGATCGCTTTCTTTGGAGGCGTTTCTCCTTGGCCTAAAAATGGCCAGCTTCTCGAACTGTGTCCCTCTGTGCCTACTGGTCTGGTGGCTCTCTCTTCACATCCTAACTCCTCTTCTTAAGAAGACACTCTACTGACTTCATTTTAACTTATCTTTTTAAAGGTCATATGTTCAAATACAGTCACATTCTCAGATTCTGTGGTTAAGGTTTCAACATAGGAATTTTAGGGTGAACAATTTAGCCCATACCAGCACCCCATGGGACAGGGCAAAAGAACAAAGCATTAGGGGTGCAGATTTTTTTTTTAACAGAAACAGAGGGTGAGCTGGGTGGAAATTATGAAGTTAAGAGTGTGCTACCAAATCTACTCCAAACCATTCTCCTGCTGACCTCTCTCACATGTATGACTTACCATCCTCCCAGACAGCCTCATGTATACTAGTTAGCCCCATGCCTGCCCTCCCACCCACTCTGAATTAAGTGGAAGTGTTTAGAAGATGCAGTGTTTCACAATGCTTATCATGAGAGGACTCCCAGGGGCAAGGGAGAGGAAAAGAAGGTGGCCTGCTGCAAACTCCCCATTTTTTGACATCATGTGGTTTATTGAATAATCTATTTATGAAATAATGCTTATTAAATGTAAATCAACAAAATTTAAATATTAACTCATTTAAAATTAATAATTATTACAAATTATTACACACCACAGTTAGAGAAGCACCATCTAGGCAATCATTCTGTTTTGGGAGAGGATGAGAGGAGAACAGCAAACATCAACTGCTAAGGCAGGACAAGTCTCCTCTAGCAATCATGTGGGAAGATACAGCAGCTGCTTTTTCATTCACCCAGTCACACCTGAGTCACCTTTAGGGCTGCTCTTTCACTGATCCCTGGAAGAGTGTGTCAAGATGATCTGTACATCTTCAGTTTCAGTAAACCACCAAGATCTATATGCTGACCTTCATTTCACAACTCTTTCACTTGTAAATTTTATTCCAAGGGTGGGTTTATTTAAAGATATGAGATTAGTTCTGAGCATGACCTTTTCATGTTCAAGTTTCATTGTAAGGAGGGTTTGCTTCTGTAGTAACCCTTCTATTAAAGTTCCTGGCACTCATTGTCTACTAATATTTCCCCAGCAATAAAAGAGTTAGTATTATGTAATATAAAATAAAGCACTAGGTGATTCTATTTAGATAGACCCGTATGTTTTAGAAGAACGTTTATCTTGATGTTGAAGACCATTTTTCCAGTATCTTCCTGGGGAAATTACCCTACTCTTTCTTACCTTCTTCTCTTCTACTGTGGCATTGCCACAAGTATCTTGTTGGAGTATATAGGCTAGTCTATTTATCTGAGCCCGTTAGAGATAAGATTGGAGGGTAATAATAAATAATTCTAATTATATAGAATGCAAATCAACTTCCCTCCCTTAGTGAGTTTATTTGGACTAAAGTAACAAATATGTTAAAGTACTTAGGAATTTATAAATTTAATTCCTTGAGTAGTCTTCCAACAAAGAAAAGAGAGAAAAAAATAAAGATACCCAATACTTAATATTTTTTAGAATGAATTAGTGACATTTGAATGTAAAAATTTCAAGCTTTCTAGAATCCTAAATTGTTCCCACCTGATTTTATAAGAGCAATATTTTTGTTTTCTTTCTTGTATCTAAACGGATCTCAGGACTATTGCCTGGAAGAGTAACTTTCTCCTCATTTTATCTTTTATAGACTATTGCCAGAACACTCAAGATAGTGTGTGAGGTCTTATCATGTGACCATGATGGTGGGCCGCCCCGGATACCTTTCAGTACATTCCAGTTTCTCTACACATATATTGCCGAAGTGGATGGTGAGATCTCTACATCACACGTCAGCAGGATGCTAAGCTACATTGAACAGGAAATGTAAGTTAACTTTTACTAAGTGGAGGTGAAGGAATACCAGGAAAACAAATCTAATGGGCCAAGATAGAGTGAGATTATTATATTATACTGCTCTGGGAGCAGAAAAGAATTGTGAGGAACATGAAACATGGATCTGAAAGAAAAGGGGAAAGGGAAGGAGAAGTGGAAGGAAAAGAATTATATAGGACAATAATTCTTTGAGTACTACTGAGACTAGCAGTAATGACAGCAGCAGCACCTGAGAACATGTTAGAAATGCAGAATCGCAGGCTACATGCTGGACCTATGAAATCATAAACTCTAGGGGTGGGGCCTAGGAATCTGTGTTTTTATAGGCCTCCCTAGTAACTCTGACTCATGCTTTGCTATGACCAATGGAACAGAAGTGAAGGAGGAGGAGGAAGAGGATGAGGAGGAGCAGCAACAGGCAGTCAAGGGTTAAGAGAAAGAGAGGCCGGGTATGGTGGCTCACACCTGTAATCCTAGGATGGGTGGATGGCTTGAGCTCAGGAGTTCAAGACCAGCCTGAGCAATATGGTGAAACCCCATCTTTACTAAAAATACAAAAATTAGCTGGGTGTGCTGGTGTGTGCCTGTACCATTTAATTGGGAGGATGGCTTGAGCCCAGGAGGTGGAGGTTGCAGTGAGCCAAGACTGCACCACTTACTCCAGCCTGAATGACAGAGCCAGAGCCTGACTCAGAAAAAAACAAAGTTAAGAGAAAAAAGATCAACAGCAGAATTTGAAATGAGAGAGTTGTTTGTATATTGTCTTTCGTAAGGTTAACTGTCAATGAATTAACTGCAGATAAACCTTTTTTCAAACAGAATTGGTCCTGATGGTATCATCACAGTGAATGACTTTACCCAAAATCCTAGGGTTCGGCTGGAGTAAGAGCACAATTTTGGCAATTTTTAAAGGAAGATACAGAGATGATTGTACTTCAGAATGACTGAAACACATATACCCTCCAAAATCAATTTTCTTGTACAACTAGTACACACGAATAAACAATTAAACAAACATAGGAAATCAGAAATGTGTGGAATTAAGATGTGAAATTGTTGGAACAAAACTCCTTCATTACCAGGAGATTAGTATTCCTCCCACATGGACACTGAGTAAAAGTGGCTGACAATGCATGGATAGAAAATGCATCTCCAATCAAAGCCATACAAGTCAGATTTTAAAAGGTAGAATGTTAACCAGACACAGTGTGGTGTTCTGTGATTGTTAGGCATCATTTAGATGAGTGTCCTTTATGTGGTCAATTGAAGTTTTTAAGAGTTTATTTCTCCATTTGTTGGTACTGTGCTAGTCATTCATTCATCCTCTAACTCATCAATATTTATTGAGGTTAGCTATGTGCCAGGAATAGGCTTGCCAGAAAAAATACAGGACACTAAGTTAAACTTGAATTTCAGACAAACAACAAATATGTTTTGTTTTGGTTTTTGGTAAACCTGGCAACATTCCAGGAACTCTGCAGGCTTCTGAGCACATACAAATAAATAATATCTGAATTCTGCCTTCAAGGAGCTCACAGTCTAATGCTAACATAAGACATGAACATAAATCACTTTCATGCAAATGGCTTTGAGAAGAACTAACAGTATTCCAGAAAGTGTCAGTGTCAATGGACTTTTCTGAAACCATATACAGATGTCATGGAACCCACCGGAGAAAATCCCCTACATAAGCCTAAGACCTTCTGACAATGTCTTAAAGATTTTCCTTTCTTAAAGGAAACAGATGAGATTAACAGGCTGTCATTATGGTTCTTAATGTCAGGTGTGCCAAAGTGGCTGGGTCAATTCCTTCTATTTGTAATACTGTCCCCTCTTAAAAGTTGCTTTTGCTCAAAAATCACGTTATGTTATATGCATATACCTCTCTACATCAATTGAGGAGAAATTTGTCTATTAGTGTCTAAAGGTAAGCGGAGATTTTGATTGGATGTTACCATGGTCCTCGATTTCTGACTAGAGTGAAACAATAAAAGGGAGTGAAACAAACTCTTCCCCCACAGCACTGGGCTGCACCTGCAGGGGATGGGAAATAACTAATCCTACTGGCTGTCTACCTTCCTAGCCAAAGTGGCCCATCATTTCTATTTGCTCTGTAACCTTATGCTGTTTGAGAAGGCTGAAGCACTACAGGTGAAACCTGGCACTGTAATTAATCAGGATTAGAGAATGAGTGAAATCCTTTAACCTGCCTCGGATTCTTGGTGTCTCTCAGTTTCTCTTTCACTGTGGCCAAAGAACTGACATATTGTCTTGTCTGCAAATAGGGAATGAAGGGGGACAGAAGAGTCAGTCCAATTTGAAAGACCTTAACATAACAAATTAGGCTCATAAATGTAACAAAAGCAAAAGAGTCCTTTGTACATTTGGGAAAACAGGTTGAAATTAGAAACTAAGTCCTGGTAGCCTTGAACACAATCACTCAAAAGTGAGGCTAATAAAATTCCAACAAAGTGTATACTGGACACAGACATGAAGTTATTGGTGCTGTAGCTATCTGTGCTTACCAAGACTAAGCACAATTGGCAATACCATTGTTGCACTGTGAATTTCTCTTCTTTTAAGCCACCACTTTGGTGTGCACCATCTTCCTCCTCTCCTGCCCTGGCAACGCTTGCTCCAAGCTATTGACACTGCTATGCCACAGCTGCTCACCAGGGACAGAGTATTTATAGCATACCTGCCAAATCAACCTGCAGTCACCCCAAGGATGGAAAACAGCTTTGTGCTTTGCCCTCTGAGTTATGCTGTATTAACAATATTATAAACACTGTATTAATGATAATAGCCAACATTTATTAAGCACTTACCATGTATAAGGCACTGGGTAAGGTGCTTTATATACATTCTCAAATTGTTCCTTACAATATGACCTAATGAAGTCATTGTCTCCATTATGAAGTCAGTGTCATCTCTAAGAAACAATCTTAGATAAATTAAGTTGTTCAATGTCACTGGTGAGAAAGAATCTGAATCCAGATCTGTCTGACTCCAAACCTATGATGCCTTGTATATATCTTCAGTGCCTGTTTAAGTATGGATTCCTCCTACTCTTCTACCCTCGACCTGAAAAAATCCCTGGGACAGAGATTTACATGCAAATAGTTTATTTAGGATGCGATCTAAGGAAAGTGGAACAGGGATAGGAAGAATAAGATATTATAGTGATGGGAATAAAGCTAATAAATGGTGTGTTATCCAGCCAGTTACCCCTGTACCCCAATACTGCTGAGGAACTCTGGGAGACAGCACAGAACACATCTCAGAGTTAACCTAATCAAAGGGGTGAGGAAGCTCATCATCGATCACTGGATAATCCCCACCTGTCACTGACTGAGGGCTTCTTCCAGGGGCATTAATGTTTTGCCTTTCCAGCTTGCTTCAGCTTGCTCCTTTTGCTCCAGAAAAAAAGGCTCTCAGACAGGAAGTCATAGATGGTCACATAAGAAGCCACCCTCATCTGCTACACTGCCTTACGGATATTTTAATAAAACAAAATTTTAACATTTTAATCACTGTTAATGTTTCTCTTTGGGTCAGGCACAAGTCTTCAGGGTCTGCAGGGCAATAAGTGACTGTCATTATGCTGTATTAAAATTCATACCTGACCCATAAACATGGCACATTGTCCCCAAACATTTCTTCCTTGTGATAAGATCATTCTAAAGGGGGACTCTTGATACTTGCTGCCAATAGATCCTTGTCAGACCCATCCCACTGGCTTTCCTATCATAATCAGCAATATCCATAGAGTCCTAGAGTGACCCCAGTTAAACTGTCAAATGAAGGCCCTTGTAACATATGGTTTGTATTTTGCCTTTAAAAAATTTTTTTCAGGAAGCAATAAAATCAGGATTTTATAAAGCAAAAACAGTGGGCTCTTTCTTTCCTAAATTAAGCTGTTTTGATTAAAGTGAACACTGCAGATACATAAGCTTCAGTGGGAAATGCAAAGATTATGTCTCAATTCCATTTTGTCTATGCTCCATGCCCTTCCTCTCCTTAATGCTCTTTCACCAGGGACCTACCATCCCCAGTTAACTGACAACTTCCAGGATCATCAGCACCCTGCAACAGAAGGAGCTGGACACCCCAGTGTGGAAGGCCGGTTTCAAATTAGGTTAGAATAGGAATCTTAACCTGCAATCCTTGGAGAGGCTCCTAAACGCCTCTGATAATATGTATATAACTATGTTTCCCAAATATGCTCATTAGCATTTTTCTGAAGAAAAAAATACAAAGCTTTGAGCAATTTCTCAAAGTTGTATATTATCTCAAAAGGCCAAGAATCTCTAGGTTCAAAATAGCCCCAAAGAGCACTAAGTAGCTTGGGGAAAGGCGGCAGCACACACCCTCAGATCTTTCCAAGCAGAACTGAGTTCATGCTCCCAACATGTGGCTTCTTATCCACAGTCTCTTACTTTTTGAATCTTAGATCCTGGCCATAAATCTGTGTTTTTGGTTCAGATCTTTATATACTTTCAACTTTGGTCATTTCCTATAAACTGGAACATCGTCAAACCTGAATGGAGACTTTCGCACTTCAGAGGTGAGTCAATTGGCAAAGTCATTGGTCCAATGTGCTAAATTATGAAAGACTAGATAGACAAGTAGAGTTGTGTACATGATACTGCAGGGACTAAACCTCCAGACCAGGCTCAAAGAGCTAGTCCTGGATAATCCTGAGCTTCAGACATTCAAGTAGCTGTCAGCCCCGATGCACCAAAGCAGTCCAAATAATGGTTGATTCATTGATTTATTCAACAAATAATTAAGAAATTCCTACTATGTGCAAGGGATTGGGCTAGGCACTGGGGACACGGCTCTGAACAAGGTGAGGTCCCTGCTTTCATTGAGATTAAATTCTACTTAGCAAGACAGACATTACATAACTAATCACAAGTTTGTAACTATGAGAAATGATGCTACTACATAGTAGTATGGGGCACGCAGCTAGTTTGCAGGGGCAGGATAGAGAGGTTTTCCTGAGGAAGTAATATAGAGCAACTTCTGAAGCCACAGACAACTCAGAAAGATGTACTGCAGCCCACACGTCTTTGCCAAGCTCCAGACTCAACTATCCAGTAGCTAACTTTTCTTGGATGACTCCAAAGTACTCCCTAATTTAACATATCCAAAAATGACTTTCCTGGTTTGCATTTTTTTCATAATGAAATGTTGGAGAGAAATGAGTTCACAAGCTTCCTTCCTAAATGTGGATCTCCCCCACCACCCGCCAAGATACAAAACCCAGAAATCAGGGTCAAGAAATACCTCCCCTTTGTCTTACTTTCCAACTCTATCAGCAAGTCCTCTCCATTTTCTATTCATCTTTCAAATACATCTTCTTCATATTCCCTCACCACCACCTCCCTTAGATCCCCTCAGCCCCTCCCAGCTACCAATATATTTCATCTGGACTTCCTATCAGTCTGGTCCTCACAGGAAACAGAAGACAACATAGATTTTGAAGATAATTAAAAGGTTTACAGAATGGACAAGGAAAACAACAAGGGGGTTGAGGCACCCAAGGACTAGCAAACCATTATCACCCCTAAGACTGAAGGGACAAAGGGAAGGACGTTTTATTAGAGTGTGAGAGAACTGGAACTCCAGGGGCTCCCCAAGTATGTAGGGGGCCAATGGATCAGCCAAATGTGCTGAGATAGAGTATCCCATTCTCTCCCTCTTCTATTGACTAAACAGAACCTGAAGCTGGAGGGCATGTCTGAGTGATGTCAGTCCCTGGGGCACAGAGAAGGGCAGTAAAATGGATGCAGGAGGAGAGAACTTGCTCACACTCACGCTTGCCTTTCCCCCAAGCACCCTCTATGCAAGGGATCAGCAAAGGTTCTGTAAAGGCCCAGAGAGTATAATGTTAGCCTTGGCAGGCTAGATGGTCTTTGTCACAAATACTCAACTTTAGCTATTGTAGCATAGATAATGTGCAAACATATTAGTGTGACTGTGTTCCAATAAAACTTTATAACATTGAAATGATTTTCATGTAATT